ACATAGAATGCAACTTTGGGGGTGTTGAGCAGGGTTTACAATTAGATTTTATTAATAGGGAGAAAATTGCAAGTCTGGGTAACATAGAAGGCGCCTCTTTGGGGTGTCTAGAAGGGTTTAGCTCCAGATTACACCTGGGCTTTTTTTTTTGAAAAATTGGTTACACCTGGGCTTTACTAATAGGGAGAATGGAAATGAGGAAACTGCAAGTCTGAGTAACATAAAATGCGCCTCTTGGGTGTCTAGGGGGGGGGGGTTGCAGTTGGTCTTTATTAACCAGGAGAACAGAAATGGAGAAAGATGGAAGTTTGTTGTTCTACTGGTTAGGTTTCATGATCATTAAAATCGTGCATTCCCGTGTAATCTAAAGAAGAGTCTTTCGACTTATCTGAGACAGGTTTTGTTTCATTTTTAAGATAAATTGCTGGAAAAATAGGACTGTAGTATAGTGAAAACAAATAATACATACATATGTTTTGAGATTTTATTTTTCTTCGTACATACGTCAGACACCCGTATCACAGATACGAGGACACGGCCTTTCGAAGACCTTTCAATTATATGATTTTGTTTCTTTAAAACAATTGAATTGTATACGTGTCAGATGCTCTGGGTATCAAAATATAATTTTGGGTGGTCGTGACTGATGAAATGTCGTGTTACCATTTCAGGCGACTTGGAGATCCATCATATTTGTCATGGAACAGAAATCCAGGACATTAAGCAGTGCAAGAAGAACCTGGAACCTCTCATCACCAGTGGCTACCATTGGGTTGATCGGTTGATGTATTAAAATATATGTCATATTTGTGTTTGCTTGATACTTGGTGTATTTTGAGCCCTAGGGACAATTCCAGAATCCATGAAAAATTTCAGCAACACCTCAGTACAAAGGTCTTTAATCTTGCAACTATTGTGTGACATGTTTGGTTCATGTTTTTAATGTAAATGGAAAGTATGACCAAGCTTACAGACAATAAAGATGATTAAGCTTAAAAAAATGGTCAATGACCAAACTGCAGAAGCCATGGAGATACTCAGTGGGATGAGTTCTGTGGAAATGAATAGGTATAATTTCATATTCAATTGGACAAGAATGGCTACGGGTCATGAGAATGGGGAATGGACAGAAAATGGATCCGCCGATTTAATTTATTAATAAAATATTATGATGATTTATTATTATTTAAAAAAATAATAATGATAGTTAGAAAAATGTCAAATATTGCCGGGAATTCGAAGAATAAATATTTTTATCTTTTTATAAAAAAATAGTTTATATTTATTTAACTGATATTTATATATATTTTATGAAGTATGTCACGTATGAATGCAATAAAAATTAGACGAGTCTTAGGATTTATATAAACTATGAGACAAATATAATTTTAATCGTACATGTTATAAAACAAAAATAATTTAAAATTTTATATTCACAATAAATTGTATAATAAAAATGAGAACGAAAATTATTGGTGGGGATGAATGCGGGAAACATTCCGCACCTACCACATCTTATTGACAGCTCTACGTGAAAATGTTGCATACAAATATCTATTATTTGGTTCAAAATAAACTTAAATGTTTAAGTAAATAATTTAAATGTTGTATACAAATATCTACAGTATTAAGGCACCTGTTGGGAGATGGCAAAAAGGTATGATTTTCTCTTTCTTGTCAGTTTGCAGTACAAAGCTATAGCATTTTTATAAGCTAGAGGATGAGTGATTATGTCATCCCCCCCCGACCCCAAAATGAATCATATCAGAATACTTGGTGCTCCGAATTTTTTGCCATATGCAAAAGCCTGTCAACTCATGATGTGATTCTTTTAAAATACAGGGAAGGATCTGCACTGGTATACAAGGGATAAAAACTCCAAGGGTTCAGAAGCAGAAGCTCTAAAAGAAGAAATTAGAAGAGGAGCAGGCCATGAGAGAGGTTCTTGGACTGGCTCCTAAACGTTCTAATCAACCACAAGGGAACCGCCTCGATAAGCATGAGCTTTCAGAACTTGTGAAACGAGGGTCTACTACAGAGGACCTGGGTGCAGGCCATGCTGAAGCAGCTCGAGTCAACGGTCTTGGTTTCTCAAGGTATGTGGTAAATTCATATTATCTAAAAAATAAGTTCTCAAGATATGATTGTACAGTAGAACAATTAAGCTATACTGTGGGAGTTGCAAATTGGTTGTTTCCATTTTTTGAAAGTGCGAAGCGATTGGTCGGTTTTCATATTTGCTGTTTTTTTTAATATTATTCTCAATCATGAACTCTTTTTAAGGATCATAAATGAATTTTCCTGCTATTTCGGGTTCTAAGGAGTGGGGAAGATCATTTTAGGTACAAAATCCAAGGAGTGGTGCTAGATGATTTGTCAAGACGAATTACTCAGTTCTATAGTAGTGCATTGCTGCTATTGCCAGAGGATTAATGGCAACAACTCTTTGAGAATATCATAGTTCATATTTTCTACTATAAAATGTATATTTAACAAGCTTTTGTCTTTATTAACTTTCACTTTGGCTCCCTTTTCCCATTTCTTTTGCTCTTGCCACAGAATGCCGCGTCCATGGGAAGATCGAAGCACACTTCCATCCAGTCAGAAGGAAGCCTCACCCGAGATGGTCAAGGTGGAAGAACCTGTATCATCAGCCATCAACGCTGAAGAAGGCAAATCAGACTATGAAAGCAGCAAGAAGAGAGAGGTGTGAGGAGAAGCGACATGAAAAGCATGATAGACATGAGAAGCGGCATGAAAAGCATGGGAGACATAAGAAGCCGTATTCTCGTGATTCAAATGATAAGAGAAGTCGTAGGAAGGATAAGGAAAAGAGGGCGTGAATCCGTCTCGGACTGAACATCTTTATGGCCGACCACCTCTGTACCATTTCCTGTGTTATGCATTGATATCTCCGTTTCTCTTCTGCTTCCCCCTTCCTGTGCAATGGTATCCAAATTATAGGGTATGATCTGTTTGTAGTAACTTGCACGAGAATGTAGATCTCTCTCTGTTAAAAGCAGCAGGCGAGTTAGTTGACATTCAAAGTTTGGGTTATGATGGCATATCATGTTAAGTTGCAATTATCTTATTTTTCATAACATGATATTTTTTTAATATCTTTAAGTTATTCCATAATATATATAATTTTGTTATAATAATTTAATAGTTTTAATTCTAGCTCTATTTTTCAAGAATGATATCATTTTAATTATTATACATCATGTTTGAAAACTTAACCTAATTTTATTCAGCACAATGATCAATCATATTGTAATATATATTATATCAATAGTATACTTCTATTTTATTCTTTTATCTGTTCTATAATTCACGTTTAAAGATCGTGGCTAGACTTTTCAATAACATCGTTTTAAATATTTGAATTTTATTTTATTTTTAAGAATATAATATGTTTTATTATTAGATTTAACATTTATTGATATATCTTTTATAAAAATAATATAGCATATTTATTAAAGCATGATTGTAGATTATTATTATTTTTTAATTTACTAAGTTTAAAATTTTTGCAAACTAACTGTAAAAGGTAAATTAAGTTTTTATTATAAATAAAATATATCTAATATTTACATTAATTTTTTTAAGTTCTTGATGTTTTCAATTAATATTTAAATAATAACTTTTGTCCATAAGGTTGAATAGAACGCCAAATCTAAAATTATAACGTTATTAATGTAATAAGCCAATATTAAAGCATCTGCGGGGATAGCTCAGTTGGGAGAGCGTCAGACTGAAGATCTGAAGGTCGCGTGTTCGATCCACGCTCACCGCAATCTTTATCTATTTTGTTTTTGAAAAGTTATACTACTCTACTGGGCCTGACCTAAAAGCTGACCCAAATATCTCTGCAACCGACCGCCTAATACTCGGAAAATATATTGACAAAAACAGAAGTTTTTATATAATATTTCTTTTTAAAAAAGTCTATTTTATTAAATTATTATATTATATTTTATGATTCTACGTCGTTTCATATTTAAGTTTTTTTATTCTTCTTGATAATCCAGTTAATATACTAATTTATTTGTTCATTTCATATTTATATTGTATCAATTCATGAACTTGTTTTAATCGAATTACTATATCGAAATTATGTATAAATAAAATTAATCGTGTTTATGTTAGTGATATGATATGTATTTATATATATATATATATATATATATATATATAATATATATATATATATATATATATATTATGACATATTTGGATTAAAATAAGTAATGTGTTTGTTTTTTATTTGACAGGACAATTTAGTAATTTGCATATTTTGTATTAGTGTTAGTGTATAATTAATTAGAATATACACTGAAAAAATAGTAGATAAAATTTGAATTAATATTTGATATATTATTAGTAAGGGTAAAGTACATAAATGATCATCGACTACATGACGTAGTTTTATTGAGTCACAAATATTAAAAGTTATAAAATAGTCGCTCGACTATTCATAAATTTTAAACCCGTTCTTTTTTGTTAAAAATTTAACGATAATGTGAGTTGAATGTTAACTCGTTTATTGTGATATGATAAAATCTAATCCCAAAATCTTAAACGACTATCGTATCTCGACTAACAAATTAAAGTATAGGTCATTTAGAGACTTCTAGACTGTATGATTCTCATATCTTGATTTTTTTTTATCAGATTGTATATAACACAAAAAAAACATTATATCTTTGTAAATCTTCTCAAAGACATGAAATGATTCACACAATTTCTTATTAATAATAAATATTCACTCTCTCTCTCTCTCAACAATCAATTAATTTGAGCCTCATATGAACCATTTTCCCCATAAAATTATCTTAGAGATGTTACCATTGTATGTCGATATTATTTATATACTCTATATTTTCCCTCACAATATGATACTAATATATTAAGTTTTTCAAACCAAAACAAATAGTATTTCTCACTTTTATTATTTATTTATTTATTAAAATTAGTTTAAATTAAAGGGAAACACAATGACGTGGGGGAATAAAAAGGGTGAAAGGGGAGGTGCAATCGGCGGAAAAGGAAAATAAAAACCCAGAGACAGAAGAAATATCTTGAAAATTTAACGAAGATGGTGTCGGCAAACAAGGAAATGGTGGTCTACTGCTTCGACACTTTGCTCGCCCATTATAACAGCGAAGATGCTGCTCCGCCTGCCTTCGATGAGGGCCATCAGTAATTTCTTCTCTATGATTCTTTGTTGTGTAATCCATTTCTTATTTCAAACCAAGTTTCCTGCTCTTTTATAATGATGGGTTGGATGCTGATTGTTTTTATTTTTTTTTTATTCTTTTATTCTTTTTGTTTTTGTGGCATTAGTTTTTAGTTTTTTTCCTTCTTAAAAGGAAAATTATTAGTAGAAGTTGGGAACTCAATTTTATTTCATTTTCGTTTTTCGTTTTCTCCAACAAAAGAAAATCATGTGTTAATGTTTTAATCAACATCAGAAATTCAATGTTTTCACTTCAAAACCCGTGTCTGGCTTTAGTTTTAAGCAATTTGGTTCCTGTAAGAACAACAATCTTCTGTAAATTTTATTTGGCTTATTTGTCTCGTTGTTTTCCTTGAAGTGACCGTGTCTGTCTGACCAATATGACCCCCTGAATACTTCAAATATATGAAAACCTTTGAAATAAAGTTGAATATATCCGTGTTGGATGTATACTCATGTCCAAGTCCAAATAATATATCCGAGTAATGTGGGGCTTCTACAATGTATTTTTTTGTGATTTACTCTTGTATAGATGGCCTAATTCTGCATAACAATGTTTATATTTGCAATTTGTATACAAAGGTGCAACAAAGTAAATTTCGTACTTTACATTAACTATATGCATATACTGGGATGGATCGAGGGGTGCTGGTGGCAGTTGCACCCCCTAGAAATTTCAAACTCCTATATAGTTTAGGTATTTTCTTTGTATTTTTTATTGATGATCTAATTCACACCCCCTGAAATTTTGTAATTTTGCACCCCCTATGTTACTAATATAACTTTCTAAAAGTTCGCACCCATGACATGAAATCATGTATCCGTTCCTGTGCATAAAAGAATATTAATATAGCCTCCTGGCTCCATCTCTTACATTCACAACCTAAACTGAAATTAGTTCCTTCAAACAAAATGAGTTATATCTGGGTTGAGCTGTTCTTCTCGATGCTCTTTTTGTTATAGGTCTTTACTAGATTTGACTTGGAAATATGTGATAAATGAATTATATCTGGGTTAGTGTCTCAGTTATTTGTTTTAGATAGGGTATTGTCTCCTTTATTTGTTTCTACATGTAGTATTGTGTTCCATTTGGTTTATCGCCGTTTTTTGGCAATTTGGTTGTAAAGTTCTTATAGTAATGTTTATTTTCTGTTTTGTTTCTGCCAAGATCATGCTGCTTCCTGGAATGAATTAGTAGAAAAGAATATGAATGTTACTCTTCTGGTTGCTTTTCACTATAAAATAGAGAATTTCAGTAGTTTTGCAGTTTATCCTTCTACTGCTTCTATTCGGTTTTCTTTTGCTGTTGGGTTTTGGTATACAATAGATGGTCATTAAACTTTCTCCAGTGTTTTTTGTTGTTCTCATTATATATCTGTTTACTTTGAAAATGATGCTTTCATCTGAGACAAATCATATTCTGTTAAGCCCATTGTTTGTGACATGGAAGAAGGTTGTGAACGGTGGGGAGCCTCGTCTACGAGGATGCATTGGCTCACTTGAAGCTTGCCAGTTGATTAACGGGTTTAAGGACTATGCTCTGACAAGGTATTAAGACCAAATTGAAAAACATGTACTTTGGAATTTAATTCCCCCCCCCCCCACTCTTCTCTCTCTCTGTATGTGTATGTGCACTCCCCAGGTAGCTGAGATATCTAGTATGAGTCTATGACAATATGTACCTTGAGCTCATTCTTAAAACTCTTCTATTTTTATTCATTTTTTTATCTTTTAAGTAAAATCTGTTATGTTCAATTATGAAAATTGATATGGTTAAAGTTAGGCTAGTTACATGGGAGAATAGTGGTTTTTTACCTCTAGCCAGAACGATTGTTATAAAAGAAGCGGCCTTAATTACTTTCTGACAAGAACTAAGAGAAGTCACTTTTAGTGATTAGTAAGTCCACTATGAGCTTTTTGCTGCTATTTAGATGAACATGGTTGACCTAAACTGCACTGTTTTGATTTAAAGTCTTGCTTTGAATCTACTAAGCTTGATTTCCAAGCAGTGATTGTTGTGATGGTGAAGCAGTTCAGCAGAGGGTAAAAGTCCTGAGAAGGGCCACTTCATCTGAAAGTAATAGGGGATGATGCTTGAAATCCAATGGCATTTTTTTAGCGCCGTATAATCACACTAAAGAAATTAGGAAACCTTGAATGCCTATAATACTTTCCACCATTGCGATCTTTTTTCTACATGATAATATCCAACCATTCTAATGTTGTAATAAAATATGCATCATGATCCCAAATGTAAGGCCACTTCTGTTTGGTTTGTAACTACATGATTTTTGTTATTTCGAAATTGTCTTTACTCTATGTGCTATATGAGGTACGAGTTTTTAATCGATTCATTTTGTTCCTACTTTGGTATGCTTCATATTTTTCTCATGGCATGCCTTGTGTATTTTCTTATTTCTGTTGTTTACAGTGCTCTGAGGGACCGCAGGTTTCCCCCTATACTAGCTAAAGAAGTGCCTTATTTAGAATGTACAGTTTCTATTCTGACTGATTATGAAACAGCTAATAACTACCTTGACTGGGAGGTATGTGATTCATCACAATTTCGATCTTCTAACATTTGATCAAGTAATATAAACTGTAACATGCACTGCCTGAATGTATTGGTTGATCAAATAATCCCCAGTTTTGAATTTTCAGATTGGATATTGCCTTATCTTCGTTTACATTTTTCTTACAGGTTGGAACGCATGGCATAATTATTGAGTTTGTTGATGATTATAATACAAGGCGAAATGCTACATATTTACCTGAGGTTCCGGCTCATGAAGGTAGACTTTATTGCCTGTTTTAAGTCGAATGAGGTTAGAACTTATATGATATGATGCGATGTGGAGACTTTCCTTTGCTTTCTCCTTTCCTTCTCTTTTTTGTGATATATATATCTGTGTGTGCGCGTCTCTGTATGTATATATCTAAGTACAAATCTATTGAATGAGGTTATATGTCCCTTTTTTGTGATATGATGGCTGTTTAGGGATTTTTATCATATGCATGATTGTCTTCTATGGAAAAGTTTGGTCTGTGTCAAACTTTTATCAGTGAACAGACTCTTTAAATTAGTTTGCAACGAAACAAGTTTTCAGAGCAAACTCTTCTCCGAAAACGGTCATGCATGTCATGTATTTATATTTTCTTTCAGGTTGGACAAAGGTGGAGGCAATTGACTCGCTCGTCCGAAAGGCAGGCTTCAGTGGCCCTATTACCGAGTCACTCAGGAAGCGTATTAAACTGACCCGTTACCAAAGCACATTATTTACAATGCACTTCAGTGATTATGTCTCCTATGTGAAGGCAACCAGGGGTGCAGAGCCTTCTATCGTGGGCACTAAGCTCGGAAATCAATGATTTTTCCAACAGCTTTTACCGTAAAAAAGGGCAAAGCTGCTTTGGCTAAATTATAAGGACATGATATTAAACAAAAAGAAAAATGGGCGGAATAAGTTCGAGTGTGTTCCGACCCAGTTGTGTTAGAAATTACAGGACACCTTTGGAATAACATTCTTCAAACTCGTTTGATTTTGAAGAAATAAACCAAAAAAACAGAAACAAGCAATGCCCGATGTAAACTCGGGCATACATGTCGTTGTTTTCATTGAGACATTTGTATGCTGCAACTTATTGTGGAAAACCTGTCTGGTGTGAGACAAAACTCGATTTGAAGGGAAATATGTTTGTTCCCAACAGAAAATTATCAGTGTTTTGTCTTATTATTTATGTTGTTCAGATTTGAGTGCGAATAGATTATGAATGTGTGATTTAATCTTTTTATTCAAAGTAAACGTTTAAATACGTTAGATTTTGTCGTTTATACATTGTATCGATTATAATGTGATTCAGGTTTATATACGTACTTTTGAATTGAACTTATCAAGTGGTTTTGTTCTCCTTAAAAAATTTAGATTCGTACGTCGTTATATATTATTTTGTAATTACTGTAAATTATTAAAAAAATACTTTTGGATATAACATATCACATGTATAATTGATCCAATGAAGACGATAATTAAGTCGGAAATGTTCGGATAAGCCCAAAAAAGTGGTTCTATAGTTTTAATCTTCAAATATTTGTTAGTAAATTTTGGGTTAATCTATTAAATAACACCTTTAACTTTGCCAACTTATTTAGATAACCCCTTTTACTTTTAATATTTTAAATGTATTTATTATGATGGATAACATTGGAAAGGTATGTATTTATTTTCTTGAGAAGAGGTACAAGTATGGAAAAATGGATGTGTGATTTTGAATGTAGAGATCAAGTGTTTCGTAACAATATTTTTTTCCAGTGGCCGGTATACAGATTTCTGTGGTTACCATTGAACTTGTCTATAAATATTTAACTTGTTATGGCATTTTTGTTTTTGCTCAGCATTCGTGTTAGCTGTTGTTATAATATTGAACTTTTTTTCCTGTTCTTTTTACATTTATTTTTCAAATGTTTATTAAGTAGTCGTATATCCAACCTTTTCATTTTATGCCTGTATCCAACGGCAGTGGACTTTTCAACCGGAGGATTGATTTGCAAAATTTCTTGCCTCTGCATTCATGTTAGCTATTGTTATTAGTATTGACTTTCATAGCTGGCATATATGAATGAGTTTTCTCTAATTTTATCATCTCTTGTTGGTGTAAAGTTCTTAGCCATCTTTTTCCAGCATTGATTTTTACAGCAGGGGTATATGAATGAGTTTTCGAGTCTCAGCTAATTATCTTTTCTGAAGGAGTTTACTTTATTACCATGCTGAGTTAAGATTATGCATGTAACAGGTATCATTCTACTTTTGGGTTTATTTACATGTCACATCTTTATATGTTTGTAGTTAGAATGACATTTGTGAAGTGGATAAACCCATTTTGGTCTTGCAATTTCTGATCTCCATCGTCACTATATAGGATATTAATCCTTTCAACCTTTTGTTACACTTCTAAGCTGGTTTTGTTTACTTAGTAACTTGGTCAATTGATCAAGTATTTCTTGACTCAAAAGCTTAGCTTAACAGTCAAATTATTAAGTGGTGGAATGATTAACCCTTTACTGGATGCTGCCTATGCAAGCAATAGTATGGTAAGGACTCAGACGTATATCATCCTACTATTCCTGGTCCATTAGCTCAGTGACGTGCAGTATGGTCCCAGCCCAAACATAGTGTTGTGCCCAACCCATTATCTTCTTGTGCCTTCGATGCTATGGAGTTTTTGGCTACTTGTAGTACAAATGCCTATGCATAGATATGGTTTGATGGGTTACTTCAACAAGACCTAAAGCTTTTCATTCCAAAAGTTATATTTAAAAGTTCAGGACTATGTCTGAAATGAATGTTTTCCTATGGCAAAACAACTAGTGTTTGGTTCTCTAATTCAGCTGAGACTAGTAAATGGAAAATGGTATTGTTAAAGGTAACAGTATATATTGGTTTTGGTTCGTGGTTTGCTGGAATATGAAAGGAGCTAGCATATTCTTAAGAATATATTAGGTGTAGTGATGCAGGGGGATCCGAGACAGATGATGCTGAGTTGTCAGATTGCACCTTGATGGCGCTGAGATACCATGAATTGGCAGATCAGCGCAAAGGCGGGAATTGATTGTGACATGTTCCTCATTGGGGTCATTTTGAGTATGTTTCAGTCTTTTGGCCATAACTTTGGCTACAGGTGTCAGAATCGCGCATAAGACCCCAATCCGGAAAGCTCTTTTTGACGCGCATGCTCTCCACATGAGCTATGCTCCATGTGGCCTTTTTTTCAACCTCAAATTCTGCCGTTTTCCCCTCCGAATCACTAGAATTAGATATTTTTTACTATTTATGGTAATATTTCGATTGTCAATTAGGAAGTCAATTTAAATCCGATTTAGGCCGGATTTTTTGGAGATTGCTTATTTTATTTCGAATTTCAATTTAGAGTGATTTTCGGGATTTTGCTACTTTTGGCAAAATTCGAATAAAGACGATTTTTGGCTATAACAGTCCGACTTGTGGACTGATTTTGGCATTGTTTGATTTGATAATATTTTATTAAACTCTAGAGACTTTTTTTCTCTGGATTTTTTTGGGCGAATTTTCTCTTGTGAATCATCTGTTGGAGCGCTTGCAGGATAATCACTATTCTGTCTGGCGTCATGTAGACACTTGATGTTTGTCTTCGTGCTCTCGGTTATGAAAGGAGCTGGCATACTCTTCTCTTGAGACTCTTAAGTATCATGAATGGTATATGTGGTTGTATGACTCCAGATTGTCCTTTTCATTTGGAGAGAGAGAGAGGAGAGAGGGGGTTGAATTTCCCAATAAAATTATTGAGGGTGATCCGTGAACACTTTACTTTATGCTATGAATTTTTGCGGAGGGTGCTAATTTGGTGTTAATCTACTTGTTCCTTTGCTTGAACTGTCTGATGTTTCTGCGTCTTAATTTTCAAAAGGAAAACTAATAATAAACGCAGTAGCCGATTGTGAAGAAATCAATAATTAAATTCCATTTCTGAGCAGGTTTTGGATCGTGGGGAGAAGATCAAACTTCTAGTGGACATCGAGGGTCTGCTAGAATTGCATGTAACTTGCATGTTGCCATCTATATTTTCTTGATAGTCCATTTTGGGTTGCAGAACTTGATGTTTTGGAAGCAGACATGGGAACTGAAGCTGATGGTGTTCCTTCGAACCTTCAACCTGATAAGGAGGAACCAGATTTGGATGCAGAGCTCAATTTACCTTCAGCTCCATTAGGAAATGCTGCAGCAGCTCGCAGGGCCAATGCCCAGGTAAACTTATATACTCTACAATTTTAGTCAAGTTTTATGTTAGCATCCAATATTAGAATCGGGACATACGTACTGTTTATCCCATTCTTTTGCTGCTTGAAGTAGATAGGATTTTGTTCAAATATGTGATTTTCTTTTTCCAGATTTAATGTCCACTCTGTTGGCACCATTGTTGAAAGTTGGTTGCAAGATGCACCAAAAGTTGGCAACAATAATGTTGAAAAAAGTGGCATGGAAAATTTTCTCAATTAATCCCTGTAATTTAAGATATTTATAAGATTAGTCCTTAAGCTTCAACCATAAATATTCTAACCCATTTAGCTTCAAAATCATCTCAAATCATTCTAGCTTTCTCTCAATACTAGATAATTTAGAAAGTTTTCTTGAGAGTTGTTTTCTTCTTTTTATCAAGAGAGAATTGTTTGTTTTCTCCTTTTTATCAAGAGAGAATTGTGTGTTTTCTCCTTGTTAGATCGAGAGAAGTTGTAATTCCTATTTTCTCATAGTGTAATTCTTCTATATTTGTCCGTGGTTTTTACCTTATATTATTTAGAGGTTTTCCACGTAAAATTTGTGTCTTCTTTATCTTCATTTTTATTTTCTCAAATTATCAGTTGCGATTTTGCTCTATCTAATAGCCGTATTCCGCAACAATTGGCATCAGAGTTAGATTTGGGTGTGTAATATCTACTTATTGTCTTTGTGGTTGCCATGATCCTCAAACATAAGAAAGTAAGAAGGTATTACCCATTCTTTGAAAGTTCTAGAGAACTATTCACGATAGTGAAATAGTGGGAGCTATCCTTGATAGAAGCTATTGCAACGAAATTTGATATTGAAAAATTCAATGGGAGAAATTTATCATCGTGGAAATTGAAGATGAAGGTCATCCTGAGGAAAGACGGTTGTCTAGCGGAAATGAATGAAAGGTCAGTAGATTTCACAGATGACAACAAATGGAACGAGATAGATGGGAATGTTATGGCAAACTTTCATCTAGCATTAGCAGATGAAGTATTGTCAAGCACTGAGGAGGAGGAGACATCTAAGGAGATATAGGATCATTTCACCAAATTGTACGAGGCCACATCGTTGCACAATAAAATTTTCCTTAAAAGGAAATTGTATAATCTTCGGATGTCAGAATCTACTTCAGTGACATAGCACTTAAACACATTGAGCACTTTATTTTCTCAGCTTACATCCTTAAGTTGTACAATAGGAGAACAAGAACGTGTTGAACTTCTACTTCAAAGTCTACCTGATTCGTATGATCGGCTCATCATCAACTTGACAAACAGTAATGTCACCAGTCTAGTTTTCGATAATGTTGCAGCTACTGTTCTATAAGAAGAAAATCGGCGCAAGAATAAAGAAGACAGACAAGTAAATCTGCAACAAGCAGAAGCGTTGACAACGATAAGAGAGAGATCAACAGAACGTGGCTAAAGCAGCAGTCACAAACAACTATGGAAAGAAGGGCCACTTGAAGAAGGATTGTTGGAGTCTAGGTATAAACTTCAATCCACAAGGCAATACCGCCAAAACTTCAGATGATGGAGAAGCTCTATGTTGTAAAGTGTCAACCACCGTGAAAAGGTAGAAAAAGATTTACAGATATATGAATCATTTATTCGGGAACAACATATCACATGACCTCAAGAAGAGAATGGTTCCATCATTATGAACTTGTCTCAGGAGGATGCCAGAATCTACTCAAAGATAAAGCTCAAGCTATTGAAGTGTTTCAGGTGTTCCAAAAACTGGTAGCCAATTAGTTTGGAGGATCGATCAAAGCTCTTCAGACAGATTAGGGTGGAAAGTATCGAGTTTTCTCTGTATTACTTTCCAAGTCTGGGATAGTGCATCGGTTGACTTGCCCTCACACGTCTGAACAGAACGGAGTGGTTGAGCGTAAGCATCGTTATGTCGTTGAACTAGGACTTGTTCTGTTGGCACAAGCATCCATGCCCATGCAGTACTGGTCATATGCAGTAGTGACTGATGTTCATCTGATCAACCGTCTTCCAATGGTTGTGCTTGAAGGAATGACTCCATTCGATAAGGTGTTCCGTGGAGCACTTGTGGTGATGAAAGGAGAAAAGATAACAGTAAACTTATACATGCTGAAGGGAGAGAGAAGCAGAAGCCTCTGTTGCCTCATGTAGTTCAGATTCTGCAATGCTATGGCATCAGAAACTTGGACACATGTCAGAACAAGGAATGAAAGTCCTTGTGGAGGAGAAAAAGCTACTTCCAGGCTTAACAAAGGTATCACTTACTTTGTGTGGGCATTGTATAACAAGTAAGCAGCACCAGTTGAAATTCAACACGTCAAATTCTAAAGGCAAAAATGTTCTAGAATTGGTTCATTCTTATGTATGGAAAGCACCAGTTACATCCCTAAGAGGAGCAAAATACTTTGTCTAATTTATTGATGACTACTCCAGGTGATGTTGGGTGTACCCTATTAAGAAGAAGTCAAATGTGTTTTCAACTTTTAAAAACTTCAAAGCGCGGGTGGAACTTGATTATGGAAATAAGATCAAGTGTTTCATAACATATAATGGAGGAGAATACACAAGTGAAGAATTTGATAACTTTTGCAGGAAAGAAAGCATCAAAAGACAGTTCATAATGACAAACACTCCTCAACAAAATGGAGTGGCAGAGCGGATGAATAGAAACTTGTTAGAAAGAACAAGAGCAATGTTGAGGGCTGAAGGCCTAGAAAAATCATTTTGGGCAGAAGCAGTCAATACCGCCAGTTATTTGGTGAATCGAGCTTCAACAACTGCAATAGAGCTGAAGACACCAATGGAGATGTGGACTGATAAATCAACTGATTATTCAAACCTCCATGTATTTGGAAGTATTGTGTACGTGATGTACAACTCCCAAGAAATTTCAAAGTTGGATTCAAAATCCAGGAAATGCAAATTCTCGGGGTATGCTGATGGTGTAAAGGGGTATCGCTTGTGGGATCCCACTGCCCGCAAAGTGATCATCAGCAGAGATATTATCTTTGTAAAAGATAAACTACAAAGAAAAAAAGACGATGATAGCGCTGAAAAGTCAGAGACTACACAAATACATGTAGAAAAAAGAGTTTGACCAAGGAGATTCTTTTGAAGCAGAACCAGCACATGATGAATAAGAACCAGAGAGTTTTGAAGCTCCAATAACTCATCAATCAGATCGTGTGAAAATACGTCCCAATTAGTACTCAAATTATATGATAACATTTTATTAAAATTTATATTTAAATTAGTCTCGTAAGAATCCATCAAACGACTATAATAATTAAAGGAAATATTGTCATTTTTAGAGGTTTCGGATTTAAGCATCTATGTTTGCATGACGTGCATGCTCATTATTAATTAGTTGAATGAAATTTGAATAAATATTACCATCTAATCACTGTAGACTGATAAAAAATAAAATTAATCACATAAAATAAAAAATATTAAAATTAATATTCAACTCATATTATGTCCCCACTTTCAACAAAATTAACTTTATTGAATTACACTATTGCACATATACAATTCAATTGTAACCCTAGTGGATTATAAACACTTATAATATAATATTAATTTTATTTGTTTATAATGTAACCTATTAATATTTACTTGTTATTTACATGTATATTATTGTTAATCAATTTTTACTATAATATTTATAAAAAAATTATTATGTTTTAATTGATATAGTTATTGTTGTATTATTTAAGCTCAAATGGTATGAATCAAATTTGAAAAATACAAAATATTTCGACTAATTTGACCTAATTATTAGCGCATTCTCAAGCCCTATTTTATTTTATTTTTCAATTTCCTTTTCCGCCGCCGCCATCTCCTTCTTCTTCCCCTTCTAATTCTTCATTGCCTCTTCTTTTTTTTCATCTTCACCGACCTCCGTCCAGTCACCTGTGTCAGTGCGTGTCGATACCGGGTTGGCGTCGGAAACGACGAATCCAAGCAACAAGAGGTTAAGATATCCTGCCAAATTAATTACTGAACTTTTGATTGTAAGATAGACTGTACATTTGATTTTGAATCTTTGCACTTTTAATTGCCATTTATAAAACCTTAATTCTAATGTTTGCTTAATTACAGGGTTTGATAAACATTTGTAGATTGGCTATGGCGACTCAGCGAGAAGGGGAAGAGTCTCTGGAAACTACAACTACTCCGCCGGCTGGCCTATCGGAATTGGTGCAGGAACGATATCGGAAGATCAAGGAGCATGCTGAAACTTATCCGTATGTGTGGGCGTCTTACACGCTTGTTTATGGCGGTTTGGCACTTTGGACTATTTACAGATATAGAAAGCTTCGTAAGACTGAGGATCGAGTGCGAGCCCTTCAAGAAAGACTCCGCAAACTTGTTGAAAATGAAGAATCAGCTAACTCTGGTACATCTGTTAGGAAGGCTCCAACTTCTGATGATAAAGTTCCAAAGTAGATACACTTTAAAAGTTTAGTTTCCCTTTTATGTAGGACAAAAAAAGAAAAAAAGAAAGCTTTCATTCGGTTTGGAAATGCATTATCAATTATTTTGTTGAACTAGCTAGTAATTGAGGAAGATATTGTGTGAAATTTGGGAGAAAAACGATTTAGATATCAATTCAATTATTTTCACTGTTTTTATTAGAATGTTGATTCAAGATCATTTTTTTTAAATAATGTAAAGGCTAAGTGCTTATTATAAGATGCATTGGCACTGGAAGTTAGATGGGCATAGATACTATCTCTATTATTTACTCACTTGAAATCGAGTATGACCAGATGAATTCATTATTTCGATTTTCGAATGTGTTCAGTGCTTGTGCAGATTTAGCAACGGCACGATTGGGTGATTACATTCTTGGATATGGCATTAAAATCGCCATGGATAGGTTTCATGTATGCTAAGTGTAGTGGCTCTGTGTTGAACTTCTTTTATCTATCCCATAAGCATTCTGCGTCTATACATTCCCCTTTACAACCTTCTGTAAAAGCGGATTTTTCATTTTCTTCACTTTTATTCATCATAATTATGTGATTTACCTTTTGAGTACTGCAGATACGTTGAAAGCGTGAATGATTATTAAGTTGAAAACAGTGTAGAGCATTATTCTAAGTTGTTGACTTTTTGGAAAAGAGTGGATTTAGGTTGGAATTGCGCCCTAGGATCAATTAATCTATCAAAGTTGGAAGAGATTTTGGATTATCAAGGAAATTTAGGTATGTTTATGAGAAGACTACTCCTGGAGCCAAAGGGAGCTCAGTGATGAGCTATAACAGATAGTGTCCAATCACCTTCAGACTTACCCAATCACCGAAACTACTTCCTGCTAGGGCGGTGAATCATTTGAAATCCTATCCTGATTGTGATATAACAATTGAAGATTTTGTCAAAGGTGGAAATTAGAGAAATAATTCCCAGATATCTAATTACCTTCTTGTTGTTTCCTAGATGGTTCTTGTAGAAATTTACTACTAGGTGCAAGAGTTTAAGTTTGTTGAATTACTGCCCTGAAAGAGTTTAGTTATTGTGATGAATCTGGAAGAATGATGATGCACTAAATTGGAGAAGTTATAGGAAATGATTATGAAACTTGAAATATATATGTAAAGAACTGATTAAAGAAAGCTGTTTGGACGCAAAACTCTGCACATTGAATAAGCCAGCTGTAAATGCATAGTGGAAAACCAGGTATGTATCAAACCTCAAAGATTTAGTTTTCTTATGTGGAAATACGGATTACTTGAGACTGTTTAGTTGCTTTGATCTGTTTTGAAACGGGAGATTATACTTACTTTCACTCCCTTTCAAAAGGGAGAATGTTTTGACGTCTGCAGGAGTAACCATATCCAAGACAATTGCCCTCATAAAGGCTATCTGCTGAGAATTTGTGGTTCAAAATTAGCACTTGAGTTAATGCTTGTCTTTCGTTTTGATTACCACCTATTTTTTTTTTTTTGATAGGAATTGAAGGCCTTGTTAAAAACCTCATTCTTGATTAAAGGATCTTGTAAAAAAGCTCCTTAATCAGCGGAAGGAGAAAAATAGTGCCTTAAGATTTCATTAACCATAAGATTCAAAAGATACAACCAGGTCGCCACCCCCAACATAAACAAACAACCAAAAACAATCGAAAAAACCCTACACAACCACACTAACACAGCGGAAACCATCTATGCTACAACAACAGTCACAAGAATGACTGACCAGACTTAACACCTGAACTTAGCCCGACGACCAGAACAAAAACATAACAACTAAAACAAAGATCGAATAAAACAGTTGGCTCAATCCATAAAAGGCAAAATCAAAAACAAAACCCTGAACATCCGCACGAAAAGAGTACAAGAATCAGCTTCCGCCTTACTGCCTCTTCTTGCTCGACTTGTCGACAGAGGCCAACCGAACTACCAACTCCATACAGAAAAGTAGAAAAGAGTCACCTGACAGTTCCACAACTTCCACTGCCTTAACCTACCTCTGAGAACTCTTGCTTCGACTTTAACGAGGCTTCCTTTGATATGCCGAAATTTTTTCTTGAAAATTTAGGAGAGAACTAAAAATTGCATTTCGCTCATCCAAAGTTCTTTGTTTCTGGCGCCCAGTATTACCCTCAAAAGCACGTGCAGGTTCACACCTTTTCCTGCTGTCTTCTTCTTCCCCTCTCTTATCGTGAACCATCACTTCCTCGTGTACCCCCACTTTCTCGGATTTCGAAAGCCCCATCCCCTGACCAGCAAGCACTTCCTCGTGTGCCACCATTACCTTAATTCCATCAGTAGGCGTGATCGGCACTACTGGCAACTGCACGTTACCTTTGATTATATCCTTAGACCCAACGTGCGCCCTACTAGCACTCTCCAAGCCTTGAAAACTCCCACCACTTTGATAGATATGCTCCCGCACAGCTTCCCCACTAACCGAATCCACAATCTGAGACTCCAAGGACCTTTTAAAATTGAATAATAAATTGGTCTGTCGTAAGCCACCATTTCTTTTTGAAGATAAACGCCTACCATTAACATCAAGAAACATGTGCTGCGCATTAACAACTTTAGAAACACACACATCCAATCCTGAGGCCACGTGTATCCCACCAGCTCCCTCCAAAATATTAAGATCTCCACTCCTTTGGCCAAGCGAATATGCCCCATTACAAACTGTCGGAAAAGTGCCACTCTTCTGGCTATCAGTCCCATGCGCAGCTACCCCATTTTGGACTGTCAGGGGCACAGCTGTAACAGCCCATACCTCTTCGGAACAAGGGCCATCTCCTGCTACCTCGACACTTGAACCACACGTTCCACCCCCAGTATGTGTGTGCCATCACTAGACGCTCGAGTTTCAAGCTGAACTTCCTTACTATTAGTGGAATCGGAATTAACTCGTGAAAACGTTCTATCACAAACCGCTACCTCGGAAGACTTTTCTGGCGAGACACCATCGAGCTCCCCCTCCGTGGGAAGCGGGGAAGCAACTGCCGTATCCAATGCAGACGAATCCTCCCAGACGGAATCTGGGCTAAAGCAAGGATCTATCTCGGACACATATACAATAAAAGACTGATCCCCGACTTTCAAAACAAAGGATTCTTCCACACGAACTTTACAGTTCGTAATGATCTGAAAACAAGCTCTATCAAAAGAGCCAGGATATAAGGTCCCTACGTCAATTGAGATAAGAGCTCCCCATTTATCCGTAATGTTTCTAAAAGTAGAATGGCTCAACACAAAGGGTGGGATCCCTCTGCACGATAACCATGCCCGTCGGCTGCTACACTGAAAGTTTTCCGACCACAATTCCACCTTGTCAAAGCATTTATTTAACGCTCCAATCTGATTTTTTATAGCATTGTCCCTACTCTTTTCATCTTCATAAATGATCAGAATTGCTAAACCACTTAACCTCATAATTTTCGGGCCTAAAATGCCTTCCATGTGCATGACATCATCTAACTCTTTCATTCTAATAAATTTTCTGCACCAACCAACCAAACTATCTCTAAGAGTAATTAGCTTATCCTCGTCAACTACACCAATAATGGGCGCCTCTTTGACATCCTCTTATCTACTCTTGACCACTGCTGAATTTGATCCAGAAAACTTTTTCCTCCAGAAAACATCATGAGGTTGAAATTTCGCCATGAAAACTCTAACCTTTATATCTTGAATCCAAGATCTATCGGCACAGATGATAGCCCTCCTCGCGTCCTCCACTCTAGAAAATCGGACAAAACCGAACCTGCTACCTCCCTTGCTTCTTTTGCTAGGGATGAAAGAATCGACCACCTCGCCATATTTATCTAACAATAACCTAAAACCTTGATAATGAAGAAAATCTGGAATATTGAAAATAATAACTGAAACGCAATTCTTCCCACTAGATTTTCTCAACTGACTCGCCATCTAAAGGATTCGAAGGGGATAAAGAAAGAAATTTTTGAAAAACGCCTAAATTTTAGAGAGAAGGTGGATCTTCTCTCACTAAAACACTATTATAATGGTTGGCAGATATGATATGATATCCATATAATGCACCTATTAAATCAGGCATTAAACAAAAGAAGCCACTGCTAAGGTGAGTTTAGTTGGCATCAATGATGTTGCAGACTCTTGGAGGTTGCTGGTTTGAGTGGGCTGAGATGCTTGCCCTCTAAGGTGAGTTTAAATAGTTAGGGAGTTTGGTTGTTAAAGGTAGATTAGGATTCTTAAAGGAAATAGAGCCACTGCTTATGCACACTACTATTGACCATACATTATGACCATTACCAGAAGCATGTTAATTAAGCGTTTGCCTCACTTTGTTTTCTGAGTTCTATGCTAGTTTCTTATTCTCATTGAGGTTTTCCTTGGTATGCAGGATGGAAATGAGAAATGATGGAAAAATTGTTAATCAAATGGTTAAGATTTATAAACCCTTTTTTCTTGGGTTATTTATGTTATCGGTTTATTACATTTTTATCACTAGACTGTTAATTTAATGATGTGATCCACTAGTAAAAAAATAGAGAGGATATTTTCTAATTTAATCTTTGAATTTTTAAATATTTTTTTCACCCTCGTCAAACAATAAAACCCAAAATCCATTTTTGTCTAAAAAAATCCATCTTCTCTAACCCTTACCCTCTTCCTTGTTATCTTGCCTTTGTCGTCTTCAATCGTCTTTGGGTTGTCGTGCGCGCTTCTATTGCCACATTAGTGGCCTTGTTTGATGTGTTCTGCTATCATACACGACGTGGTGAAGTTGAGGGAGTCAAGGAGTTGTTAGTGTCTGGGGTTGTTGGAGTTTAGGATTTAGACGAACGATAATGCGAGTGTGAAGGTTTTGGGGTTTGGACAAGGGGTGTGCGACGATTGACGACGCCATCTTCAGCGCTCTACTTGTCATGTACCCAATGTCTCCAACACTCGAATCCCATGGTCGATCGAAGCTCTACCTTTCAACTCTGACACAGCTTCGCCCTAGTTCGACAACACCCTCGCCTTTGGATTGTCGTGTGTGCTCGTGTTGTCACGCTTGTGGCTTTATTTGATGTGTTATATTGACACTCGTGATGTGGGGAAACAGAGGGAGTTGAGGGGCTACCGATGTTTGGCATTTAGACGAACCGATGAGAGTGTGAAGGGGCTGGGATTTGGATAAGGGGTGTGCGACAGTTGACGACGACATCATCAAGGATGGTTTGGGCTAGGGTTAGAGGAGATAAATTTTGGGTTTTTTTGTTTGAAAAGGTCGAAAAAATAGAAATTAATCCTTTTATTAAATTGTTACATCATCAAATTAACGGGAGTTAACGGTCGAGTGTTCAAAATATAATGAATTGATCAAAATATAATGAATCGATAACGTAAGTGATCAAAATATATATTTTTCAAAACCATAATTAAAATAAGACAAATCAACAATAAAATCGATCATCAGTCTACCATATATTCTTTGAGAAACTTTTAACTAATCACCTAGATTCTTCTTTTAAGTGATTTTTTTAGATGTTATACTATTTAACTAAAGTTAATACAAGTTATATTAATCATTAGATAATAATAATTATAAAAATATTTTAATAAAATTTGATATTTATATTTCGAGTAGAGTAAACTTAAATATAATATACATAATTAAAATTAATTTATTTTCGAAATATAAAATTCTACGAGTATAGTAAATCTATTACATTCAAGATATAAATTTTAAAAGTTCAATATATTCAATGACTGTAACGATTATTTTATAATTTTTGAAAGATCAATGTTCAAAAAGACCATATAAATCTAGTTAAGTGACTTATAATGTAATTTACCCTTCTAGTTTCATGGCTCATGACAATCTCGTGTGCGTTTTACTCGATTTTGCGTACATTTTTCTCTCTCTCGAAAACGGTGAAAACAAAATACGAACCGAAAATCACAAATAAAATAAATATGATAAATGGGATTTACAGTATTTTTAATTCGAAGAATTAGCAGACTGCAATTCTTTCTACGAAATCCAAATTACTCTGCGAATGAATGAAACTCTAACGGCAGTTGGAAACTTGAAGAAACAAACAGCACATAGAGGTTCTACGATGTTAATCGGATTGAGGTAAATTGTTCTTTGAAAAAGTTTGATTTTTTTTTTACAATTATTTCTGAAAATTTATATTCCTTGAATTCATCTTTTGGATGCATACACGGTGGAATGATATTCAACGTGAAGAATGGAGAGCCGTTTCAGTTTCAGTTTTTGCAGCAGCCACTGAAAAATGGACAACCCAGAAAGAATCAAAATGGGACAGCTATGTCTTTACCTTGCATGTTTACATGTAAAGCCTCATGCATTCAATTACTTGCCTTTGTCACCGCTATATATATACACACACTCCTTTCTTTCTCGTTTTTTTTATTACCAAACAGATTCCCTTTTTTCTCCAAACCTCTCTTTAGTTTGAGCTTGATCTTTTCTTTGTGCATCCATGGCTGCTTCTTCAAGTAGGGAAGCTTTGAACAGAGAACTTATGGATATCATTCGTTCTATGGAACAAGAAGTAACCTCAAAATCCCTTTTTTTCTCTCCTATGTTGCTTTTGCTCATACTCAGATGTATGTGTCCAGACACAGAAAATGTGTCGAACACATCCTTCGAAATGAAGAGTTGGTGGAGCAACATAGGTTTTCTCATTATTAGATTTATATCATTTCTTTTCATCTTTCAAGGATTTGATGAATTCAAAACAATTTTTCAAAGATTAAGATTTTTGTGTTTTTTCCATAAGGATCTTTCCGAGATTGATAAAGTTCATATAGATCAGTATGATGTTATACCAACTTCCAGTGTGTTGGTGTTCATTGAATTTTTAGCAAAACATGCATAAAATTTTGCAGTGGTTCTTTAAATTTAACTCACTCCAAATAATGTTAGCTCTGTTTGATCCAATAATTAAGATAAAAATTCTGGTACATGTGACTTCTTGCAGGGCATGGTTGACTTTCATTTCCGAATGGTTCACGGCATGAAGGAAACAAATGGCCCTTATTTCTTTGCTTCGTTGCTGCCAACATTCTGCCGTGATTCAGCAGAAACCTTCAGATATTTGGCTTCTGCTTTGTATGTTGTTTTCTTGAGATTTTATGGCTGCATTTTTGTTGTGGATACCTTTTCATTTTCTTTTGTTCACTGTGGTTTTGATTTGTTCTGTATCTTGTCTTGCAGGGGTCAAACTGTGCTGAACTATCACAATCTGGTTGAACTGAGTATTAAGATAAAAGGGAGCGCATCGAGGTAAAATAACGGATACCTGTTTTGTCATGCGTTGATCCGACATAATGATCTTGGAATATATGGTTGAAATAACTATAGGATCTACAAATGATCATCGCTTTTTGGCGATCAACTTATACATCCGTTGCACGTGGCATTCTTGCAAAAGAATCGGAAATTACCGTTTGATGATGATCTTATTTGTTCATTAAATGAAGCCTTTGTCGTTTATCTCCGTAAACTTTTGCGATACTAGTTTTTATTTACAAATATAGTTAAGAATATGTACAACTGTTGCATACAAACATGTTTTTATGACCTTTCCATATTGCTTGCATATATATGTCAATAGAATAGGATGCTGTAAGTGTGAGCTCTGGTTTATTAAACTGAACATTCGTATTCATTTATTTTTAATCCTCGAGAAATATAACAGTTCTTCTAGTGCGTAGACTGCACCTTGTGCTCTTGAAGTCACTGATTCTAGATAATCATTTCTTGGAGAAAGTAACAAACTTTCTTGAATATATTGTTGGACACTTGCATATAACATTCAATTTTACTGAATTCATGTTGCCAAAACAATAACATGCCATTGTGTTATTTCCGAGCGTAATAATCTCTTGCAATATCTCTTTGGATGGTATAGTAGTGATTGTGCATTTAAGCTAAATGAATTTACTCCATTTGATTTCCCAGCATCGGAGCTTGTCGTATGGCAGATGCCTGTGATGCAGTTCAACGAGCTGCTGAGAGGAGAGAAGATAAAGAAAGGTAAGGGTTTTTGTTGATATGTTTCTTGCCATGCTTTAAAATGAAGGACCCTTCCGATTTCACTTGCTTTTTTACTATTGGATTAAATGCATCTGAATAATTTCTTAATTCTCTCTACGAAAGCATTTTCTGCTATCCATCACAAAGAGTGACTCTGCCTTTTGTGAGAAAGAAAGAAATGTGGATTGGCTGTCAAATCTTCGGACCGAAAAAAGATCCATTCGATTGTGAAAAGAGAGCCCTTTATTCTTAGGCTTTCTCATGTCATGGAAAAGATTTTCCAGAGGCTATTAGAAGTAAATTCTAGTTGCATTTTTCTAGTTAGATGTTAGTAATATTATTGCATAGAGTAATCCCCTTCTCAGATGCTGCTGAATTTGATGAGGGAATCTGCAGTTTAATCATATATAAGATGGGATCGTTGTGGATCCACAGTAGCTGCTCTAATCAAGGGCAGCATACAGTGGTTTTTATCGTAGTGCATCTGCTAGCCATCCAAATATCTTCACCACGAAAAACATGCCCTTTGATACCTGGATTAGTGATCAGTTTAAGAATCGGTAGTTAGTATTCTATCCTTCTGCATTTTAAGTAATTTCATAATTAGAGTAGTTAGAAAAATCCGTAATTGAAACTTTTATATCAACTAGTATTCAACAGATAGTTAAATCATATACTTAATGTTGGATTGGTGAGGAAAACAGTGTTGTACATTGTTCTTGTTACAAGAGAACGAGCTGATCAATTTTTAAGGGAGGAGGGTTCAGTGATATTATCTGCAACTTTGCTATTGCTGGGTAAACAATGAAGTCTTGAGTTACTTTATGAAGATGTCTTCTACAATGTTTAATTTCCCTATGTCCTCATACACGACACAACCATAAATCTATGTAGTATTAATTGGCATTTATCAATTAGAAGATGATGGCATTATGTATTGTAAATGATTTTATTTTCAAATGATGTTTAACTATCACAACTGAAACTGAATTTGTATCGAGAACTTGTTTGAGGTTAAATATCTATACCATGCTGTGTATTCCATGTACAATACTAAATTTATCTGAAACACGAAGGTTCATCATGTGATTGAAAGACTGCATGCATCAGATTCGCTCCTGCTATTAGATGGCAGTGTTATAAATGCATATCCTTCTCTTAGTTGCCATCTATTAATATGAGTTTAAATATAATTTGGATACTGGAAATGAACTCTCTTAGCAGCATAATGGTTTGGTTTACATGCTCTTATTGCTCCGACCTAGAATCTTAAGTTCCTGTGTTACAATCGGAAATTTTTTCCTTCTATTTTCAGCCTTGTCACTGCATTGAATGCTGCAAAACAAGTATTTGTTGGTGTGCAAGAGAAAATGAACACTCTGGTTCAGGTAACTTTGGTTTTAACTTGTGCTGTTTTCAAACTTTCTATTTATATATATATTTCTGTGATTTTTCTTCTCTGTTAATGATGCTCTGTTTCAGAAGAGTTTATCTTTATATCTCGTTAGGATACGAGACCTAGTTAGTGTTATATACTTGCTTGATTCATGCTATGATACTAGTGGATAACTGCAGACAATCAAATTTTGATGGCATTCTGGCTTAAAAACAAATAACTTTTTTTCCTGAAAATATGGCTTTAAATTCTTCGGTTCATCAGTAGGAAGTAATCTTTTGTTTTTCCTTGTTCGCAGTCACTTGCATTGCTTTATTTCATCTGACTTGGCCATTTAGATAAGTGAATTCTCAAATTATATTAATATCAGAGTTTGCATGTGAACCATAACGCAGTTGTTTTAATTATACCGATTAATTTATGTAATACGAAGTAATTGATTCATCGAAATGTAGTGGTTATGTTCTTTGTAGCTTTCATGGTTCTCGAACTATTCCGGTTTAAGTGATTTCCACTTTGTGATTTTCTTTTGCTATTTTGCAGCTGGAAAGGAGGATTATCTCTCGTGAAACAGCTGGTCCATAAAAGTGCAATGGACACTATATCCAGGTGGCAAACCGATAGTTGCAGCAACTTATCGGTTTCCATGTCGACTGTCTGAACCGAATATCGGGTTTTATTTTCAGTTTGTGGTGTCTTTGATTTCCTTGTCCAACTGTTGTTTGTTCTGAACCGTACATCGGGTTTTGTTTTCAGTTTGTGGTGTGTCTTCGGCTTCCTTGTCCGAATATTGTCTGTTTGAACCGAACATCGTGGTTCTTTTTCAGTTTGTGGCGTGCCTTTAACGCAAACCAGCTATGCTGTGTGTGTTTAAAAACTTGAAATAATAAATGGTGTTTTTAAGACTCCTTGATGTTCTTTGTTAGTTTGATGTTATCTCTTTATGCAAATCTATTTTCGTCCATTGCTCAGACTGTTAGTTTTTCTTGAAGTATCAGTGTCCGATACTCGTAATCGTAGCATATTTGGCACGAATGCGAAGATACGGTGCTTCGAGAACCTTCGAAATACTTTTGAGAAAAATGAGCATACCAGTGATTGATGTATACTTGGAAGATTCTTAAGACGGCTTATGCTTCCGATATACCTTGGCCCCTAAATTGGTAAAATTGCAGTTTGATCCTTTTAAAGAAAAAGTTTATCAGTTATTTCCTCTCCAAAAGTTTATCATTGTTAATTAGAAGCGTGAATGTATGTAGAATTCTAGATCCTTCTGTGCACCGAATTCCAAAGCGAGTGAAGAATAAACACCCACCTTTCAGCTACCTCTCTCTCTAGAGTGTTTCAACTTTAGATCTGGACCGTCCATTTCCCCCTATAACTCCATATCTAACAACTGAATTACACCCATTCAACCCTTCTCAATTTTCTCTCTCTCCCTCGTCGTCTCGCATGCGCTCTTGTGGCTCTCTTCAACCCTCGCGTATCTGTTCAAGATCCGTTAGTTCCATCTCTTTTGAATCTCATATTTTTTTATAGTCTAATTTTTGTGAGTATTTATTTGATTTTTTGGCGGTCTGATTTTAGGATCTGATCTGATAAAAAAAAGATGTTTGGGAGAGCGCCAAAGAAAAGCGACAATACTAAATACTATGAGATATTGGGAGTGCCCAAAAACGCTTCCCAAGATGATTTGAAGAAGGCTTATAGAAAAGCTGCAATTAAGAATCATCCTGATAAGGGTGGTGATCCTGAAAAGGTTAAACTGTTTTTTTTTTTACCGATTTTGTGTTTTTAATAATCTGGGGTTTGTTTGTTTTTTCTATTCTAATTGTTGATTGGAGCGGATTATGAACTGATCTATTAGCATATACTTTGATCTAGTTCTTTTCGAATTTCATGCTTTGGTTTGAGTAATTGGTAATCAATTGGGTTGAAAAGTTGATAGAATTGAAGTCACATTAGCTCTATGATGGTTTAGTTTAAACCATTTTATTGTTGACTCATCTAGAAAGTAGCTTGTTTGATTACGCTCGTGTTTTGGAAATGGCTTAAATTATGGGTTTTCAGCTATGCTAATCTGATACGGTCAATCTTATTTTTCCCATGTAGTTAGTGGGTCTGGGTTATATTCCTACACTTGTGTCCGAATATGTGTCAAATATTGATGCTGGCTATGGGTTAGCAAAATCAAGACTTGGAGAGTAACTGAGTAAATATGGGTTTTTGAGTTCAGTGGTTTTTGAATTGTCTAGTGAACAGCTTGTTTATTCATGTTTTAAAAATTTGGGTTTAGAGTACGTGGGGTTGTTAATTATGTCCATAAAGCAGACATGGATATTTCGTGTATATATGTCATGTTTGTGTGTCATTCATAATGACTTGTTATGGCATTCGATTATGTTTCATGTTTGTCATATTTTCATGTTTCGTCTGTTTTCTAATTATTTATTTTGTGCATGCGTGCTGCTTGTGTCCAATTTTGTCAGGATTGAAGGTGATCTTGTTTGTAAGGTTTTCGTTTGGAAATGTTTAGAATTTTTGGTGTATGTTGGTTGTTTAACTACTTCTAGTAAGTAGGTTATTTGATTGTGTATTTTGTGTTTGGAGTTCAGTTTAAAGAGTTGGCTCAAGCATACGAGGTGCTGAGTGACCCGGAGAAGCGTGAGATATATGATCAGTATGGGGAGGATGCACTTAAAGAAGGAATGGGTGGAGGTGACGGTGCCCATGATCCATTTGATATCTTCCAATCCTTCTTTGGTGGCAATCCTTTTGGTGGTGAGATTTTGGATTAATTCATGCTCTTTTTATTGAAGTGATTAGAATGTTATGGAATTTTCATCATTCTAAAATCTTGGTTGCCTGTTCAGGTGGTGGGAGCAGTCGAGGCCGAAGACAAAGAAGAGGAGAGGATGTAATCCATCCCCTTAAGGTTTCTTTGGAAGATCTCTATAATGGAACTTCCAAAAAGCTTTCTCTTTCACGCAACGTAATTTGCTCCAAGTGCAAGGGGTAAGTATTTGGATTGAGTAATGTTTGTGTTGCAACTTAGCGTTTATGGCGTCAATAATGGTTAGGCTGCCTTTTTATTTGGTCTATTTTAACAGAAAATATTCTATGTGAAAATTTGCAGTAAAGGGTCCAAGTCAGGTGCATCGATCAAATGTTCTGGTTGTCAAGGTTCAGGAATGAAAGTCTCCATCAGGCACCTTGGTCCTTCCATGATCCAACAGATGCAGCACCCTTGTAATGAGTGTAAGGGTACTGGTGAAACCATCAATGACAAGGACCGGTGTCCGCAGTGCAAAGGCGATAAGGTTGTTCAAGAGAAGAAAGTCCTGGAGGTTCATGTTGAGAAGGGTATGCAGAATGGGCAGAGGATAACTTTCCCCGGAGAAGCTGATGAAGCTGTAAGGCCAATAAATTGTTTCCCCTTTTTTCTGTAATTTTTAGCCAACATGCATTTTGTTGTGTATTGTTGAATCCAGTTCTTTGCTAACAATTTCTCATTTGCAGCCCGACACGGTCACTGGGGACATCGTATTTGTCCTTCAACAGAAAGATCATTCAAAGTTTAAACGAAAGGGTGATGACTTATTCGTAGAACATACATTGACACTTACCGAGGCACTTTGTGGCTTCCAGTTTATACTGACCCACCTAGATGGCAGACAACTCCTTATTAAGACCCAACCTGGTGAAGTGGTTAAGCCTGGTAATGATAATATCTTGTGCATCTTTGACATATTTTGGGTGGCCTTATCGGTAGCTGTTCGATTTTTTTTTTAAAGAATTCTCTCATGTATTAGTGGATATTGATCCATGTTGTCATAGTATGTTTAGCGGATGTTGTTCTTTCACTGATTTCAATATTATTGTTATAGGTCAATGCAAGGCCATAAATGATGAAGGAATGCCTATGTATCAAAGGCCATTCATGAGAGGTAAACTATACATCCAGTTCACCGTCGATTTTCCGGACTCCTTGGCTCCTGACCAGTGCAAGGCACTCGAGGCCGAGCTACCTCCAAGGACCTCAGTCCAGCTTACTGATATGGAGATGGACGAGTGCGAGGAAACAACTCTATACGATGTTAACTTCGAGGAAGAGATGCGTAGGAAACAGGCACAACAAGCTCAAGAGGCTTATGAGGAAGACGAGGACATGCACGGCGGCGCCCAGAGAGTGCAATGCGCTCAACAATGATCGAACAAATGTTGGTGAGAAGTGGAATGTAGTATTGTTCAACAAAATTATTTGAATATTGTTGTTTGCGTAGTGTTTTCCAAGAGCGCTATATGCTCTGGGAACTGATGAACGTATGGAAAGATTTAGCTTTCGGAGTTGACCTATTTGTTTATGATATACAGCCCTTTGTCTCATGTGATGTATGTTTTATTATTATTTTCCATTTAAATTTGATAAAATTATTTAGGATATTATATGATCGGCGTTGTTTATTAGTCGTTTTCCTTTACTCCAGGCTCGTTTAGACTAGATGCTTTTCAAGAGAGAAAATTAGTGTTTTTTTTATTTAATTCCATTTGTTTTAATTACTTTAAAATCAAGTAACTTGTATTATCCTTTGTTAAAAAATAAAGGTCGGTTTGAATTTGTACTTGATGCATGAAAGATGATTTTTTTGTCGGTTAAAGAATTGAATTGAAATATTGAATTATAAACTGATTCCTAAAAAATAGGAATGATTTTGGCTATACATCTTAAAGATGATGTAGAATTGTGATTAAATTATATGATTATTTAAAACAATCTAGAATGTTAGAAGTCAGTAAAAATAATTGAAATTTTTTAAAATTTTGAAGATAACTATAAAAGAATAAATAAAAATATTATTTAATTCAAAATATAAAATTTTGAAAAAAATCAAAATTGTTAGTCTATTCAGAAATAAAAATATTTTATCTTTTAAGAATTAAAAAATAAAATCAATGATTCAAGAAAAATATATACAAATATTTCTACCGCACTTTTAATAATCATAGATTAATATTTTAACTTGCAAATACTAAACACACTTTTTCGACCGCACTTTTGAAAAACAATCTTAAATTAATCGTAAACATTACTTGTATATGTGTTTGTAGTGATGCGAAGTGAGGCTTTCCATCATAAAGTGTGAAAGTAGGCATTCCTGTTTATGTAGACAACAAAGAGTAAACTGTCCAAATTCTTACTTCTACTCATTTTTCACTTATTTGGCAAGTCATTTTAACATCATTTAACCAAGTTCTTTATTAAAAGCTATTCAAATTTTCACTTATTTACTATAATTAAAAGCTATTCAATTTTTAAAATTAATTTCTAATGCATCCGACCAATACAAAGAGATTGATAAGAGTTAAAGAACATCAAGTTATTAATGTAGCCAAGTCGGGACACAAGCATGAATTCATGTAGACCCAAAACAGGACGCTATTACAGCAATTGTAGGATTTGATTGGCGATTTTGTATCACTTATGGTGCTAACCGAACACGACAAGTCAAGAAGTTTTCTACAAGAAAGAGTGCGATTACATACTCATCGACATTATCTGACGAGCAAGACCTGGATCTTGTTGCAGCAGCTCCCCCAGGTTTTTTTCCACCTCCGCGAGCTGTTTTTCCATGTACTCCTTTGAGGTCTGTCAAAACTCAACAAATTAGCTAACTTTCAATGTGAATGGATCAGCATTCCAGGTGCAAGCTACTTGAATTAAGCTAATAGAGACTCAAATTCAGCTCAAACATTGTGGAGCAAAATTCAAGTACCCTAATACTTGAGTAATTCATAAACCTAATCAAATTTTTTAATATATGTTCTATTTTAAATTGGCATTAAAATTTTCAATTCAAACTCAAGCTCAAACTGGAGGCATGCATAATCAAATTTGAAGCCAAGTTTAAAAATCAACCTTATTTTTTACCATGTAAACGTTTAAAAGAGTAATAAAACGAACTTGAGCAGCTCAATTTTCAACTTGAATCAAGCTTAAACCTCAAAAGAGAAGCTTGACCAGCTCCAGCCAAACTTTGTGCCTCGAATTTTGAGTCAAGCTCAAGTTCTTACAGATAAGGCTTGGCTTGCCTTGCTTACATCCCTAATCAGCATACTCTTAAGTGGCTAATTATCTCAAATAAAAGCAATAAAAAATTGTTCATAGTAGTATAACCACTTCAAGAAGATGAAAATCCAAATGAAACCCAAGGCAAGAAAATATTTGCTTACTTTGCCTCTAAGTTGCTTGGAATTGAATGCTCATGACACACACGAGCATGTGCACAACAGGGATATGCCTAACTTTCTCTAAAGTATTTCAAGTATATAGAGGATCCTAGAGGAGTCGTATTTTTATACACATTCCAAAATATGCATGAGACGTTTCTAATACAGAGTCGAAGCACCATATTGACTACTTTACAGCTCCTAAACCAATTTCCATGTATTGATAATGCCCCATTCAAAAACTAACATTCTTGTTAATATATCCATTGGAACAAAGTTTGTCAACTTGTCCAAAACCAAACTCGATCCAGCCACCAATCGGTAATTACCAAGTAATTATCAACAAATTTTCATACTAAAATTTGGTTAATAAATTGTAAATTTATTATAACTAATTAAGCCTACTAATTTCATTAAGAATAATCAAAAGCCACAACAGATCACAACAACAGACACCATAAAATCACAACAAATCTCATAATGCTTCAACATATGGTAGTTATGCCATACAATAAAACACGTGCAAAACATGGAGGTGATACATAAAATTCATTGTTGCCAAAGGCATAAGGCACACTCTACGTGCTAGAACTGTTATATTGCCTACGTCATAATGAACAAAAAAGTGGCCATCTAAGTGAAGGAGCAATATTTATGTACGTGTGTTTTGGTATATACTTGTTTGGGTATATATATAATGGTATTAAAATGTAAAATTGGTCTAGTTTATTTTACAAAACATGCAAATTTTCATTTTCTTCAAAGGTTTCATTAGTCTCATGTCTGTTTTTGAATAGTAAAATACAAAGCAGAGAGTTTGATATTATTCGCTTTCTTGCTAGTAAATGTAGAATAAATAATAACAAAAAAGAGCCAGGAGCACCAGGCGTGCACCTAATCAAATGTGCCTAGCAAAAAAGGGTCCAAGGCACTTCTCTTATGTGACATTCACACACAGCACCTTGGCACACGCCTCAACAACACCAGTTACATGTGGTGTAATACAACCTATTAGCAGGCTTTTGTGATATTGATATCCAATAGAAGGGCTAGCTGAACCAGTAGCATATAAGAAAAGGAAAAGTAACATTTCGAAAAGGAAAAAAAAGCAGGCACAAACAATTGAGTCAAGAGAAGATGCATACAAAAAGCTATACATGACACAGAAAATTACCTGTAAAGAACCAATTGCAGACTCACTATCTTTCAGCTTCTGCTCTTGTTCATTCATTAAAACTGCCTTGAGCTCTAAAACAAACCTGGAGAGAAAAAAAAGAGGCAAATAAAAATGCCTGTCAGTCCATGTTATTTATTATTCCTCACAGTCCATGAATCATTATAGCCATGTAATTAGGTCCACGGCCACTCACATTCTCCCTGCAAAACAACAAACAAATAGGTTATAGCTCAGCATATCTGGTGCAATCAAACCTATAATCCAGGTAAAACTTAAGACAGAGCAAAAAACCAATTCAAACTATAGTATTCGGTCCCAGTTTCTATTAAACTCGGTCCAGTTTCGGATTGGCTAATAGTTAAAACTTTTGGTGCAGTTCAGTTTTCAGTTCACACATTAAAAGGCTGCAACTATTCAAAACAAACTGAATTAGTAATTATAACAAACATTTTTTTATCTGGGTTAGTGAATTTTTAATTAAAAAACTATATATAGAACATTTTTAATTACAAAACCAATGAACAAAACCAAACTAATCCAGTGCACTGGAATTTGATTCAGTTCAATAATCTATAGCATTCAGTTTGGACTTTAAAAACCAGAATACTGCACATTAAATACAATTTTTTTCCCCAAAACCAAACTGTCATCAACTCTAGGTTAAATAGGAACTCGTAAGTCACAACATATGAAACACAACTAAACAGAATGCCAGGCTGTGAAACTAAAGAGAAGACTAAACGTAGCACCCTGGTATGTGAATTTTTTTATTCATTGTGAATAAGAGAACACAACACTAGTATCTTATTCCGATGCAAGACCACAGCTTCAGTATCGTACCTATGGATTTGTATGTATTTGTATCATCGGGCACCTGACTCAGCTCCTCCAATGTCAAGAAAGCACGCTTCTTTTCACCTTCCTTGGTCCGCATCTGGTTTTGCACCTAGAAGTCATAGGATTTGCTCACCTCAGTCTCTGAGGTTAAAGATACCTCTTACAAGTTTCCAATCTAGAGAAAATTTTAGTTGGGTGCAAAACTGACATCAATTATACAACAGCCGCTCTTGCACATAAATAACATATAATTGTGTTTCTTTGACTCTCTATTTCCTTCAGGTATCCTTGTCCAATACATACCCGATATAGTTATAGGGATATAACTCCATGACCTTCCATATACACGTAAACTTAGAAAAAGTTTAACATGCCTGTGTTAGACACATAAATACACATATTTGACACTCACAATCGAGTTTTGAGTAACATAAGCATGAGCATCACACACATGTCGTAAACTGCGCATGCACTTAGCAGATCCTGTGTCTTCAAATATCCTGATGCTTAACTCGAATCTCGCAAGCTTAATCGAGCTTTTACTACTAATATATATTTTTAATTAGTATTGAGAGATCTCAATTCAAACTCAAACATAAATAATCGAGTTTGAAGACGACAAGCTCATCAGCTCATCTTATTACCAAGTAATTGAGCCTAATCAGGCAATATCAAGTAGCCTAATTTCTATCTTGAATCAAGCTCCAGCTTTAAAAATGAAACTCAATCGACTTCAACCAACTTCCGATACTCAAATTTCAAGTTAAGCTCAAGCTTAATACAGTTTAAGCTCAAGCAATTACAAACCCCTTTGTCTTCAACAACACCTTCTATCCCAACCAAAAACACATACCCAAAATAAAAAATAAAATAAAAACTTCAACTATGAACCTATACTTCTAACTCTGAATGTAATGCTCCTAGGTTCAAGATCAAGAAGACACTCTCTTTGCTTATTAAATAAATCTTTGAGCAATTTTTCGCTTTTACCTCTCAAAGTCAAAAGTGTCAATTTAGCTCCACAGAAGGACACAAGCTAGATATAATTAGAGATATGGAGAGAAAACAAGTCCCTGTTTTGATCCATTTCTACTACTTCCTCTGTTCAATTGTCATTGGATAAAATCTTCGGCCAACTAAGAACAACAGAGACATACTACTAACAACGTCACTTATATTCTGATGTGAATGTCAGAAATGAATCTGACCGGTACGAATGAGTCTGGCAGAAGCAATTTAAGAAAAATAAATGAAAAGTTTGAGTAATATATATACTATTAATCTGAAAATAATACTTACCTGTTTTAATTTGCTGGTGAGCTCAATCATTCGACTTTGAATCTCTATAAATGCCTGTTATCCAACACAAATCACTAACATTTTAGAGATCTCCCCTCACTTCTTTTCCACTTTGCTAGTAATCAAATCAAATAACGAATTGTTAGAAAAGAAAACCAAGAGAACAATTGATTCTTACAGTTTTGTTAACTTCGTCAGCCATGTCTGAAGATTCAAGCAGAAGAAATCAGCACCAAACGCAAAAGTTCTGACATTTATTTAAACTCTCAAATAAAAATATATCAAAATGGAAAAATAAATTAAAAGGCAAAAGGGCCGTGCCTACTTGTATGAAAGGAACTTGGATTCTACTTGGATCTTTCCAGCTTCGCGTATGGCTCTCGGATGTATAGAAATCGGAGTATTTGAGCGAGACGAGACGAGACAGAGTCGGATAGAGAAAGAAACAGAGTTGCGCCTCCGCGAAGACATCTTATGGTTTTTGGTGAAATATGGGTTTTTATATAATTTTTTATCCAACGGCCAATGTTTTTTTCTTTTTTTTATCCTATGTATCCAATGGCTGATGGTGTTTTCGATAATAATGCAACATTTTTTAGGTAAAATTTAGGAAAAAAGCATATTTCAGAATATGTTTTCTTAGTAAAATAAGAAAACTTTTTTTTTGGGGATAAATGACGTTTTTATTCACCCAAAATCAATTACAAAATAATACATAGTAACTAGCATAAACAAGCCAATGAGATTTTTTTTTTATCAAACCTCATGGAACATCTCAAATCAGGGTTAATGACTAAATTGTAAATTTTAAAAGTTTTGTGCTTAATTTAGAAATAAATTAAAAGTCTCGGGATTTAAGTAAAGAATTTTAATATTGAATTAAATAGCAAAGATTGATGAACTAAAGGGGCAAAATGGCCTTTTTATGGGAAATATTTTTATCTTCCCTTTTTGAGTATTATAAAACGTGGGAAATATGAGAGAGTTCCAGGCTTCTCTTCTTCATTCTATTCTTTTCCACCGTGAAGCCATAACTAAAGGTAAGATCTCTTGTTAGTTGATATTTAGCTGAATTTAGGATTTGGTTATGATCATTGGATGATAATTAAGCTTAAAGAAAGCTTAAATCATCTTAAAAGCAAAGATGGTGGAATTAGGAGAGATTAAAGATTAAGAGTTTTTGAATGAAATTTTGGAATAGAGTTCATTACTCAAATTGGAAGTTGAATTTGACTTGTCATCTATGGGAATAAGAAGCTAGAAGTGTTAGAATTAAGTTTGGGTAACATGGAAAATTTGGTATGATTATTGATTTCTATATGGAGAATAGAATTTTGAGGTTTAAGATGAAATTAATGAGTATAAATTAGTTTAAGTATGTATATTTGAGTTAAGAATATTAAAGGAAATGTGGAACTGAAAATGAAGTGATTCTCGAGCTCAAAACATGATTTCTGGGCAAGGGGGAATCGATACCCCCTCAACCGAACCAGAAATTCCAGAATGTCATTGGGGAACCGATTCCCCCACAGTAGGGAACCGATTCCCCCCTAAAAGAAATAGTGATTATTGGTTTAATGAGTTCGGTTAAGTTTCTAGTATCAAATTACAAGGTGTAGGTATCTAATAATTGCCTTAAAATGTATAATTATGTAGATTCAGAGCTTGAACGAGTTCCGGAATCATTGTCAAGTAAGATCGATCAAAGGGAAAGATAAGAGATTGGAATTGACTAGTGATGCCAGGTGAGTGCATATTCAATAGTGTATGATGGGTGATGGGAATAAGACTTGCGATGAGTCTATTTCCTGAAGAGTTACATATGAATTCATGATTAAAGGCATGAGTTGAATATGAGTGTATGTATGCTTGATTATATGAATTGATATGTTTTGTATGTGCTATGTGATTTATTTACAAACACTATTAAGTGTTAATGAGAGAATATCAAATAAGTTATGAAATTATATGAATATAGAAGATAAGTCAAGAGATGTAGGGAAATGGAAATAGAGGTTTATGAAGAATCATAGGAGAATAAATATAAGTAATAAGATAATGAAATATAAGACTATGTGAATACATGGTTATGAGAATTAGTAAAATAGAGTTATTTGATTTAATGAGAATTGAGGAAACTAAATAAGATTGAATTATAGAATGGAATGAGAATAATATATCAATTAGGGAACTTGAATATAAAGCGATGATATGTATATATATAGGATAAATTATATGCTAAAGATCTATGGAGTTATATGAAAAGGTTATAAGGAATATATGAAATTGAATTAATTAAATGGATTAAAGTAGTATATAAATAAAATATGATTAAGTGTAATATATATGTTTAGAAATACGACATAAGTTATATAATCTAAGGGAATACAAAGAAATAAAGCATAAAGTAGACTAATTGAGATAAGTTATTATATACCTATATGATATATGTTATCAGGTAATATGAAAGGATTCAGGAAACTTATATAAGCTATGTGAAAGTGATCTAGGTGTTTATATGTGAATTATTCGGTAATAAGTTATATGAAATAAGTGTAGTGATTACCAGATCATAAGAGATAAGTCAGAGAATGTGAATAATATGACCAGAAACTATGAGCCTGTGTGATGAAATGAATATATGAAGACATGACTATGAGATATGTGATAAGAAGTTATGATTAAATGATCAAGAGATATAAGCTAAGGGATATATGTGAATTACATGAAAATGTGTTATGTGTAAGTGAATTACGTGATTATATGAATATGAAATCATATGAGAATTGACATGAACTACGTGATTACATGTATGTGTGATATGTTTACATGAATATGTGCAAGGATATAAAAGATAGTGCCCATGTTATGTGTCTTGAGAGCTTTGGGGTATAGTTGGCATGCCAAGAGTCGAGGGTCTACGCGGTCCTTCGGGACATATAGGTATCCTATGGAACATCTATGAGGTCATTTGCGACACATATTTGGTCCTTAACATATGTATATGATTCTTAAGGAATTTTCTACGTTGTCCTTCGGGACGTATATGTATTCTTTGGAGCATGTATGAGGTCTTTTGAGACACTTACTTGATCCTTGGTATATGTATATGGTTCTTAAGGAATTTATATGTGGTCCTTATGGACAATCTTATATGGCACTACGGTGCAAATTCTACGCGGCACTTCGGTGCAATTATACGAGCTGTGGTGACAACATTAGTGCACAACCTCTATAGACTCACATACCTATAGTTCTCACATATGTCCATGGGCTAATTAGGAGATAATAACAAATATATGTTTGTGATATGATAAATGTTGTAAAAATGATATGATGTTGTTGTGTGTGTATATTGTTTGATTAAGGGGTTTAAGTATAAAAGTATGTGATTAAAAGATAAATTGTTGATGATGCTTTATGTGTATGTAGGTATATTTTGTTAAGTAATCTGATATGATTTTGTATGTTATGATGAAATAAGGTGATTTAGTATAGCATGATAGAATGAAACATGCATGCATTGTTAAATGTTATTAAGTGCATTATAATTTTTATTTGCCTCACTAAGTCATCGACTTAGCGTGTGAGTGTTTCACACGTAGGTTCCGGAAAGCTAAAAGAAAAGCTAAGAGAGCAATACAGGTCAGCATCTCCTTTATAAATTTCAGATAAAAAAATAGATGATTTAAATGATTTTGGTTATTTTGAATATAATTGGCATGTACTAAAGGATTGAGTTAATATGCTCTGATTAATTTTAGTTATTGTGGTCAAGTTATGTAAACAAACTGCTTTTACTTTAATTAAAGTTTTAAATTTTCTTTGAATTTTGTCAAAAGTCAAAGTTTGAAAAGTTAATGTGACACCTCGAACTCATATCCGGGTCGGGTACGGGTTGGGGGTATTACACCCCACCTTCAACAAAATCAGGGGACCAACAGTAACTCTTAAATAACCTCTCAACCTCAATCTAACAACATTTTTAATTAAAAGAACAACTCCATCAACATGCTGAGGACTAGCCCCATGTAACCTGTCATTCCTCTCCTGCCAAACATTATAAAGGTAACAACACCAAGCTATCCGAATGACAGCATCCCTCAAGACTTACCCCAGCCATGATCTTGCACCCAACTCAACATATCTGCCCAACCATTCATAGGCCTACTAACAAGACAAACCTACAATATTTTCAACCAAATCTGACTAGAAAAATCACAATCAGCAAAAAGATGATCTCTAGATTCATTTTCATAACCACAAAGAGAACAATTTAGGTCAATTCGAAACTCCCGAGATATCATACGAGCCTTTGTCAGCTAACAATCCTGCAACACCAGCCAAGATATAAATGAGTGACAGGGTATGGATAAACCCCCAAACAACTTTGAACCAAGGAACATTATCCTTCTTAGGCCTAAGCGTTTCCTATAATTTCATCGCTTTAAACTCCCCATCTAAGTTACCAACAAGAGCATAATCATCTCTCAACTTAAGAATCTTCTTCCAAGTCCAATTATGACCACCCTTGAGAGGAGTTTGCCAAAGAGAACATACCTTTCAACCCAAGCCACCCAAAGTGAACCAGTTTGAGCAAAGAGAACCCATAAACATCTCATCATACAAGCCCTATTCCATACAAGAATATTCTTAATCCCAAGTCCCCCTTCACATTTCGGATAACAAAATTTCTCCCAACTAACTCGAGCATCTCTAGCTGAACCTTACAAGCCCCTCCAAAGAAACGTATTACATAAACCTTTAAATCGCTTTAAAGCTTTAGGAGAAAACAAAAATATTCTACTCCAAAAGTTCTAAACATTAAAAATTACAGCTTGAATAAGTTGCAGCCTCCCTGTAAAGGACAAACACTTAGAAGGCCAACTACGAATCTTCCCAACAATTCTGCCAATCAAGCCCTCACAATTCAAGTGAGAAAATTATTAGAAACTAGGGGAACCCCCAAATATCTCACAGGGAGAGTACCAATTTGAAAACCAATAAGCTCCAATCATACTTTGCATATCAGAATGCCCAATCCCAACAAAAAATAGTTTATTCTTCAAAACATTCATCTACAACCCCGACATCTTATAAAAAAATCTCCATAATATGTTTAACAATCAAAACAACCTCAGCATGTCCCTTAATAAATATTAGGAGATTATCAGTAAAACAAATATGGGTAAGTCCAATACGTTTACATTTAGAATAAAAATTCAGCACACCGTGCTTACCTGCCATATTTAAAAGCTGCGACAAAACATTCATGACTAGAATGAATATATAAGGAGACAAAGGGTCTCTCTGTCAAACTCCTTTTTCCTCGAAAAAAACCCTACAAGACCCCCATTTAACCCAACCGAGAACTTAGAGCGAGTTATGTAGGCTTAGACCCACCCTCTAAACTTAGCAGAGAACCCCAACACTCTAAGCACCTG